GAATAACGCGTAAACAAATTTACGTGCATGTATATATATTTATATATATATATATATATATATGTATATATAAATACACAGCGGAGATGCACAACTATCCGGCTTCAAATTTTCACATGCCGCTCTCTCGCTTAATCTCAGTTCCTTAAAGCCGCTAAACTCGACCGCAACGAGGTAAAGACCAGCCGCGCAATTCCCGTGGAATGCATTTCGAAAAAAAGATTGCGAGAGAAAACGTACTGCGGGGCCGTAAGATGAAACTAGCAGGTGATCATCGGCCGGGGATCGCGACGGCGGATCGTGATTCCGTGCCCACCTGAAAACAATAAACAGCCTAGAGGCTGCTTCTGAGACAAGAAGAAGGAAACTTAGGCCGCGAGTGAAAGTGCACAATAACCACCATCCCGGTTCCTGCTCGTGTCTGCAGGGGTTTCACTTTACGCGAGATTGCGCCGTGATCTTTTCCACGGACGGTTTTGCAACTTCGAGTCACAATAATTAGCGGCCGCGGCTACTAAGTAATTACACGAACAAACGGGGGACCCGTGAGTCCATTAGTCTCCCGCAGGAAACAAAGTATCGTGAGAAGAATGTACGTAATACTCGCCAAGTCTTATCGATGTGTTATATAAACTGCGCTGCGAAAGAGCGGAAGACCACATACCTATCGGAACATGAATTCTAACCCGTCATGATTTGCGATGCGCTTTCAGCTTCGATGATTGCGCGAGCGTCGGGGATGCCAGTCCCGACAATTAGTCTGATTGATGCAGATGGACTATGAATTCCGGCAGCTCTTCTTCTTTTCAAACAATCATATTTTTATACAAAATCGTGAGTTAAACTAATCCCAGAATAATAGTGTATATAAATTTTATATAGTTTTGTTATTTCGAGAAATTACCAAAATGTCGTTCTCTTGAAAAATAAATTCAATAACGTATTTCTTTTTGATTCTTCAAAATTGCTGATAGTTAAAAAATGTCGCGATTTTTCAATAAATGCGACTAAAGCAGAATAACAACTTGTATTTGTGAATCAAAGAATTCTACCTTTCCACCAATATTTTCTTTAACTTGAATAAGAGCATTTTCTTACGAGTCTATTTCTTCTCTCAGAAGCGACAATCGAGATGCTTGTGGGAAAGTCTCGGAGGTGTATAGTTCTGTCACTCACGATTCGTTCGTATAGTTCTATTATGTCTTCTTATTCAATCAAAATACGTAACGTTAAATCTTAATTCTGTCTTGTCCAAGTTAGCTGCGGCGAGAAGAAAAGTCATCCATCAATCAATAATTTTTACAATTAGCGCATACCACGGAGATAGCTCCGTGCTGCCACAGTCATTATTATGTAACAACGGAATTACACAGTTAGACATTCACTGAACGGCTAGCGCACATCTGTCTTTATCAAGGGACGAGTAGGCCGGCTATCGGAATCCGGTAGTTTCGTTCGCCATTACGCGTAACAATCTCAACGTCTTTGATTGATTTCCTTGCTCTCGAGCTAATGAGCATCGCGCCCGATTTGAATCAACGCGACCGGGAAAACACAGGATCCGAAACGAGTTCACAATACATGGATCTGATTGCGTAATTGCTGAATGTATGATGACAGAGTCTCCCGATACGGTGCTCTTTGTCATCGCGCGCCTCGATATCGTGAAGGCACATATGGACCCGTATACAGCCACCATATACAAGGTGCTCCGATATTATGTGCACACTATCGAAAATACGAATGTTCGTAAAAAAACTTGCAAAGAAATTGCAATACCGATATTTCGAATCATTCTATTATTCTACTATTCTTCTCAATTTTCAATATGGTGAAAATATTTCGCAAGATACATTAACATGGTAATAATAATCCTTTAACGCAAGGGAGAGATATGCATCTAGAAAAGCGATGTTAATAACCACTTGAGCAAACGTCAACGTTCGTGACCACCAACGCGTAACGCATACAGCTGGGCCCACGGTTTCACGGTTCTACAAATTGCCTCTTTAGATTAGAGGAGACTCTTAACATTTTAAACGTACCTTGTGTTCGGAAACACCCTGTACATAACGACGCATGGTTCGGTAGTTGATTAGATTTAAAAGAATGCCCCGTCACCTGCACTGTTGAAAGGAGACTAGGCTCCGGGAGCGACGGCGGTGGGGAGACTCGCGGAGACGAGGGGAGGGGATGGGGACGGGGATGAAGGGCGAAGGGGCGGAAGGTGCCGGAGTAGAGCCTGATCGTGAGCAACGAGGGGCCCGGGCATGAGGCACCAGCGATCACTGACCGCTTTCGCCGATCCTCGCCGCCAACTAGCCACCTTTCAGCGGTGCAGCCATTGGGGCATCTTCTCGCTTAAAGGTCCATTCACATCGAGTCGCTAATCAAATCTGACAAAAAAAAAGGAGAAGCGTCCACGGGTGCTTACGATGCCCGTAAAATCATGGAGAAATTGCTCTTATCGGCATGGGACCGGCCGTGAGATTAAAAGTGGGATTTATGTAATTGTCGATAATGAAATGTCCAAATCGTTAGGATTAAAGATAATGACGCTTAATCTTCGTATATAAGGACCATCGGAGTGTAGATTAAATTCGGCCCCGTGAATTTAGTGTCGTTATTGATAATTAGAGTTATATTCGTCCCATAAATTTGCGCGCGTAACAAAATTTCCTGCAAATTAAAAGAGATCGTTATAATCCTACACTACGGAGGATTAAATCAAGTTTACGGGCGAGACGACGGGGATCCTGGATACGTCTGTATCATCCGTTTGAGCAGTTACAGTAATTGGCTGGCGGGAATGTAATATCGGCCAAAAATTGCATCCCGATAAAAGCCGGCGAAAATAATCTCGAGAATGAAGTAACTCTTTCCCGGAAGAAACTCAGGATATTTGTGTAATGAGAAAGAATGGCGCGAACTTGCACGAGGTAATCGAGGTAGTTAGCAGGTTGCAGTTTCGTTTTACAGGCACGTGATACACGGTTAATCCGCAAAACATCAGACACCCGGGGAATAATATTACGTACGCTTATAGGCGGCCGAGATGCAGTCCACCAACGGCAATTACCGGGGCGAGAGGGAACTATGGCGGAAGAATGAAATATAATATCGATTTAAGTCTCGCGGCCTTGGTAACGATCTTGTAGCTACGATCAATGAGCACACGGCTGATCAAATGTACGCTTAATTGCGAAATCAGTAGTCTACTTACGTTATCGGCAATAATAATAATCGGCGTGGACGAATTTTCATCTTATCGCTCTTCTCGAATGAATTATATGTATCGTAATGCGAAAGGAACAGATTCAAATTACCTCGTATTATCTTATCTATCAAGTGCAATTGGAGGCGCACGTTGACATATATACTCGATAAGGTAATCTGTTTTTTTTGTATCAAATGACATACTGATTGGTTAAGAACGTGACTCGATTTGCGAAACGTTCGAGATAAGAAAGTATAGATTTCATAGTTCTTTAATCATTTATAAATTTATGCTAATATAAAAAAAATTTGTTTAAATTTTTCAATTAATAATTTAGTAGTTACGTAGGTATATTTGTATCACAAGTGTTCTATTACTATATTCTATATTGACTTGCTGATACAAACAATTTGATATGCTAAATAATATAATCATTTATAATCGGCGATGATCGTTTCTATCAAGTTAACGCGATCGCTGTTTACGGTCATTTAAATTTCGATGAATGGAAGTCGTTGGATCGCTGATTTAAACGATGATGATGTATTTAAGAGGCCCTTTGCCAATGGGGAACCCTACTTTCAGCAGGTAGAAGGAAACAAATCACTTTTCAACGACGGGTGGTCAAACTGCGAAGCACTGTTTTCTGAAAGGCGGAGTTCCTATAGAAGATCATTTGACACTGCACACAATTCCCGACACAATGCATCCAATCGTTTCTGCATCAATAAAATAAAAATGTACAAACTTCACTTCATATACATAAAAACAAATACTTTCCGAAATAAATAAAATTCTTTTCATGTTTTTAATGGAAATAATTTTTGTTGTATTTAATCAAGTTGAAGCGAAAAATAAAATTTGGCAAAAGGAAAAATTAAAACACGATCTTTCTAATAAATATGATAAAATTTGTAAATGGATGCATTATGTAATGTGCAGAGAGAGAGAGAGAGAGAGAACTTATTTTGTGTAAAATGCGCAAATCGGCCGCGATATACGTTTTTATCAGAGACGGATGACGTGAGGCGCGGAGAAAGGCGACGGAAATCTATAAAAAGTATTTGCGAAGCGCGGGACGACCGGAATACGAACGTAAACGGGATTCGCACAAAGGCATCGGGCGAACCTTTTTCGAGGTTCCATTCTACGTGACAGAATCGTAGAAACGATGTGAAAACAGATGACGGCGCGGCGAGATTTCGCGGATGGATCGAACAGCAATCCGGCGAAAGAATAGAAAGGAAGAGAAGAGAAAAGATCGACAGGCGGGAGAGAGGGGGCAGAGGCAGACAGAAAGAGGGACGAGGGGAGAACACGAGATGCGGGGAATGCGCGGTGCGCACGAAGAAGAGGAAGAGGAGAAAAGAAGGAGAGAGAAAGAGAAGGACGCGCGATGGAAAAACGGAAAGGAGGGACAGGAGGAAATAAGAACGTAGTGGATGGAGGAGGCTGCAGATGCGAAGGAGCCACTGTAAGGACTCGGAGAGTGTACCTGTCTTGTTTTTTAGGCTTGCCAGAACGCCGGTACCCGGGTACGCGGACGACGACGACGGCGAAGACGACGAAGACGACGACGAGGTGGACGAGAACGAGAGGACGACGAGAAGGCAGAGAACGTAGTGGGAGAAGGAGGGACAGTCGGGGGGGGGGAGGAGCGGCGAGCGGTCGGTGCGAAAGGTGGCAGAGTCGAGGGGGAGAGAGAGAGAGATGGCAGGAGGGGAGGGTAACGGAGTCCGGCAGGGCCTTACAACTCTGCCAACCAGTCCTAAAGAAACCGCGGGCCTTACCGGAGCCGTGTTCGCGCGCGTCGTACTATCCGTCGCGGTGACTTTTCGCCGATCGCGAGATTTTTCTCATCGCTGTAGAGGCGATAATCTGTCCGGCGGGTCGCTGAACCTGCTTCTTCCGCCCGTTCTCGCGCGACGTATCGTCCCGTTAGCGAAGCGCGTCGCTCGTCTCCGGACGTACGAGACGAATCGCCGAGGATGAAACCGCCGGGGTCGTAAAGGCGGATCGGCAAGAGGTGCGAGAGGTCGATCGTCGACCGGCAGACAAGAGGAGGCGAGGAGTGTGATATGGATGACGTGAGGTAAAACCGCGGACGACGGCGCGCGGTGGTTTAAATGGATCGACGCCGGTTTCGCGAGGCGCAGCTGCGGCGTTACAATTGGGACTGAAGACAAGAAAATCAGAAAGAAAAAAGATATACCAAGAAGGGGGGGGTACGGGGGACACATTGATGGAACATTGATGAGGCGCGGCGGCAAGATGCGGGGTAGTCCTGCCTTCTTCGCCATATTACTCGGCACGATATTCGGCGTTCTCGGCGCGTCTCTGAGCAAGGCGCTCCGATACAAAGCGCCGGACGAGTGCAAGTGGGTTACGACCGGTGACGCCGAGGACGACGTGTCGCTCCTGTGCCATCTGCGTACCATCAACAGCGAGCTGGAGAACACGAATTTCAGCGTGATACAGCCGCAGCACACGGTGCGCCTGCGGCTGGAATGCAGCGACGCGCTCTTTTACCAAAGCTCCCTGAGCGCCGGCAGCTTCCGGCCGCTGGTCGAGCTGCGGGAGCTCGTTATCGAGTACTGTAAAATTAGCAATCTGTCGGACGACGCGTTCAAGGGGCTGCGGGAGCTGCGCAATCTCACTCTGAGGACGCACAACACCGACTGGTCGGCGATGACGCTCCACGTCTCCGCCAAGACCTTCACCGACGAGCTTCAACAGCTGGAGAAGCTCGATCTTGGTGAAAACAACATGTGGGGCATACCGGAGGGCGCGCTCTGTCCGCTCGTCAACCTCGAGGTCCTAAATATGACGAGAAACCGGCTGAGGGACGTCGCGAGCTTTTATTTCAACGCCACGATGAAATGCCTGTCGAACCTGCAGGAGTTGGATCTTAGTAACAACAGCATCGAGTCGCTGTCGAGCGCGGCGTTCTCCGGTCTAACGAGGCTGCACAGCTTGGATCTGCGGTGCAACGCCATCAGTTTCATGGCGGATCGCACGTTCGAAGGCCTCTCGTTGCTGGCCATCTTAAAACTCGCCGACAACCGGCTCGCCAGCCTGCCGCCGGAGCTGTTCAGCGACGCGAGAGCCCTGCAGGAGATTCATCTGCGGAACAACACGCTGAGCGTGCTGCCGCCAGGATTGTTCAGTGAATTGACGCAGTTGCTGGTGCTGGACCTCTCGCACAATGAACTAACGGCGGAATGGGTGAACGCGGCTACGTTCAGCCGCTTGGTGCGTTTAGTGGTGCTCGATCTCTCGAACAATCATATCGCGCGACTCGATTCGACCGTCTTCCGCGATCTGTACAGTCTGCAGATTTTACGGCTGCAGGAAAATCTACTCGAGAGCTTGCCGGAGAACACATTCTCCCCGCTTTACAATTTGCACACGCTGCTGCTCAGCGACAATCAATTGACCGTCATAGACGCGACTACGCTGAGCGGCCTTTACGTACTCAGCCTGCTCTCGCTGGACAACAACCGGTTGCACACGATACACCCGGCCTCCCTGAGAAACGCCTCGTCTTTACAGGACTTTCATCTTAACGGTAACCGGCTGACATCGGTGCCGGACGCGCTGAAAGCCACTCCCCTCCTGCGCACCCTCGACCTCGGCGAGAACCTCATCTCCGAGATACCGAGCGGCACGTTCGACCACGTGGCGCAGCTGTACGGGCTTCGATTAACCGAAAATCATATCGGCAATCTGACGAAGGGCGTCTTCGATCGTATCAAGGAGCTGAAGATCCTCAACCTCTCGCGAAACCGCATACAGTTCATCGAACCCGGCACGTTCGACGAGAATCTAAATTTACAGGCGATACGCCTGGACGGCAATCAGCTGACCGACATCGCCGGCCTCTTCACCAAGCTACCGAATCTCGTCTGGCTGAACGTCAGCGACAACAAGCTCAAGTGGTTTGACTACGCCATGATACCGACCGGACTGCAGTGGTTGGATATACATTCCAACGAAATACGAGAGTTGGGAAATTACTTCGAGATCGAGACGCAGTTGCAGCTCAGCACTTTCGACGCCAGCGAGAATAAGCTCACCGAGATCACCGGCAACGCGATACCCATGAGCGTCGAGCTGCTGTTTCTCAATGACAATCTCATCTCCAAGGTGCAGAGTTATTCGTTCTTCAAGAAACCGAATTTGACGCGCGTCGATCTCAAGGGTAATCAGATACGAAATCTCGAGCCGTACGCATTGCGCATAAGCGTCGTGCCGCCGGACAAGCCGCTGCCGGAATTCTACATCGGCGACAATCAGTATCTCTGCGATTGCACGATGGAATGGCTGCAGCGTGTAAATCGGCAGAATCAATCGCGCGTCCAGCCGCACGTGATGGATCTGGAGAGTATTTACTGCAAGCTGCTGTACGATCGCGAGCACGCGTTCGTCCCGCTGGTCGAGGCGTCGCACTCGCAATTCCTCTGCAAATACGACACTCATTGCTTCGCCCTGTGCCACTGCTGCGACTTCGACGCCTGCGACTGCGAGATGACGTGTCCGCAGAACTGCACGTGTTACCACGATCAGTCGTGGTCGGCGAACGTGGTGGACTGCTCGAATGGCGGCCATGTGAATAAGCTGCCCGACCAGATACCGATGGACGCTACGCGCCTTTATTTGGACGGCAACGATCTGCGCGTCGTGTCGAGCCACGCGTTCATCGGCCGCAAGAGGCTCAAGGTGTTGTTTCTCAATTCCTCGAATATCGAGATCGTGCAGAATAGATCGTTCAACGGGCTGCGCGATCTCGAGGATCTACACCTGCAGGATAACAAGATACGCGAGCTGCGCGGCCATGAATTCGAGGGACTGGACGCGCTGCGGCAGCTGCATCTGCAGCGCAATCACATCGCCGCCATCAGCAACGACACGTTCGCGCCGCTGCGCTCTTTGCGAATTCTCCGACTGCAAAATAACCGTCTGACAATGCTGGCGATATGGTCGCTGCCTCTGTCCGTCGAAATCACTCTCGCCGGCAATCCCTGGTCCTGCGAGTGCGATTATCTGCATAGTCATCGCGAGTGGACGCGCGAAAGGAACATCACGGTCGCGGACGCGTCCGCGTTACGCTGCGTGTACAACATCACGGAATTCGAGGCGTTCGGCAGCGAGGTGTTCGCGGACGACGAGTTCGGCTTTTCCGTCATGACGGGCAGATCGTCGTTGCGCGGAAACGAAAGCGTCTGCAGCGACGAGATCGGCCTCGACAACGATCAGCATCGCAACTACACGAAGACCATCATCGAGAAGCAGGTGCTGCAGGATTATCTGCCGCTGCTGGTGGCGACTCTCGCCAGCTCCCTCGTCGTTATACTGCTGTGCATGCTCGCCTTCGTGTTCCGCCACGAGTTGCGCGTGTGGTTTCACTCGCGCTTCGGCGTGCGAATATTCTACCGGAATCACGAGGTCGATCGGGACGATCGGGACAAGCTGTTCGACGCCTTTGTGAGTTACAGTTCCAAGGACGAAGCGTTCGTCGCGGAGGAGTTGGCGCCGGTGCTCGAAATGGGCAATCCCTCGTACAAACTGTGCCTACACTATCGGGATTTTCCGGTCGGTAGTTTCATCGCCGACACCATCGTGCAGGCGGTGGAATCGTCGCGCCGCACGATAATGGTGCTGTCGGAGAACTTCATCAAGTCCGAATGGTGTCGCTTCGACTTCAAATCGGCGCATCATCAGGTGCTGCGCGACAGACGGCGCCGGCTGATCCTCGTTCTAGTCGGCGACGTGCACCAGCGCGATCTCGATCCGGATATACGGCTCTACTTAAAGACGAACACGTATCTGCAGTGGGGCGACAAACTCTTCTGGGAGAAGCTGCGATTCGCGCTGCCGGACGTGCCGAACAATCAGAGAACAACGCAGAGGACGAGGTCGCAGCCGCCGCCGCCGGTCCGACGGCAACACAACAACAGAACGTCGAACGTCGGGCCGCGCACCGTGTCCGTCCATATATGATCCGCCCGCGAGTGCGTTGTGCGCGCTGTGCGAAATGTCAATCGTGTTACAAGAGTGAACCCTCGGTCACACGACACGGTGCGACCGGCGTGAAACGCCTGCCTGAACGTCGACGATCTGTGTGCTCGGAGCGCGATACGCGCCGCATTCAGACTTTGGTGCAATACGACTTGGTGCGGAGTATGTAAATAAACGGTGCATTTGTATGTATAAATAAAGCGTGCCAGGCGCGGGGGATAAAAGAAGCCACGTGTGTACATAGACGGTGAGAAGGTATTTAAGATGCTCCTTTCTCGCGCAAGTACGTGTATGGGCGTGTGTGTGTGCGACGCGTGAAATTTGTAGATTGTCGTTGTAGCGCGCCGATGAGGATAGATAGCTGAAAACTCGTTGTAAATAGAAAATACCGTCCGCTCGGTCGCGAATTACGACCGAACTGGCAGACCGTTATTCGGCTCATGGAACGCGCGATGATCACGTTGGGTGTGACGGCGCGTATACGTATGTGAGAATGTGTGTGCCGCGATCGTGGATGCAAAAGAGATGTGTCTGCAGTCCCCACCTCTTCCTCCTGACCGGTGCGAGCGTGTACTTAAAATTCATTACTTTTCGTCACTCCGTACACATTTTGGCTGCGGCCATTTTTTCCGTACATAATTTCGGAATCTCGGATTTCTCGGGCGAACGTCCGCTCTGGCGGAATAAATTCAATTCATCGGCAGCCATCTCGCGCGTGTGCCTCCACGATCAGCTCTTACAAGTAAAATAATCGCTTGATATCGAGCCGAGAGTCTCGCGCGACGCACCTGTTTGAACCTCGACTCGATTGTTTAAATAGCTTGGCTCAAGCCGCTGCGCCAACAGTGATACCACTTCCTAATTATAATCGTAATGTATATTTAATTGTATTTACACTTTTCCACTTTTCTCTGGTTGATGACGAATTTCATCCAGGAATACGAGCTTACGAGTGTCTCAGCGGTGTCTAGCTGACGCTCCACGGTGATAACGAAAAATTTTCGGCGTGAATTATTGTAAATTATTACTTTAGTCTTATTTATTTCGTTCCAATCGGTGAAGAGACTTTATGTGACTTATGGGAGCGTTGCGTTTTTTTTTTTTTTTAACGGAAAACGGAGACAATAGTGTAATGTGAGATTCGCTTGCCGTCGATTAATTTAAGAAAATGTTATCTGTGCCGCGCAAAGTTTATATTTTGAATTCGACAGTCTCATTGTTATCAAGTAAATTAGCAGACTATTTTCTATCTCTTACGGAATATAAATGGTACATATATATTTTTATAAAGATAGACAGAGTGTGTACACGTACTCTTTAACTGATATGCACAGATATGCTCAATCACGTTTAAGCAACTACTTCAGCATCGCGAATGCACTCGTCGGGGCACTCGACGGGAGATAAAACAAACTTAACGCGACGTATCTTATCCGAAATGCGACAGTCGAATTCAAAGTGCGCGTCAGGTCAAGGAAACTGAAGTGCTGCTACAAATATTCGAGATATAATGTACAAATGCAAAGTCGTCTTCTCTAGCTTTCCTCGCAAGCGGTAATCATGTTTCGCAAACGAACTTATTCGACAACGAAAAAGATATTATTTAGAATAAAAACTATGACTGAATAATAAAACATTCTATTTTTATGTTTTTAATCCTACTGTATTATTCTGACTCTTGTTATCCTCCCGACCTCTACACGTTAAATGATTACACGTTAAATGATTACACGTTAAATGATTTTACGAATTTTCGAAGAACTCGTGAGCTAATAAACATGTTAAATATATTTAAATAGCACAAACACACGATCTTAAACATCTTCGTATTCTCCATTGACGTTTTAGTAGTTTTTAAATTGCAAAGTATTACTTTCTTCAAACGTATTTGCCGAGAGACGTATCAAAGGCGCATTAAAACGAATTTACAAACGGTATGCAGTGCACTTCCTCATTTTCAGTTAACGCAATAAAATGACAAAGCAGTACACGCGATATTCGCGGCATGACAATTAAATCTACCATTTCGATGCAGGCTTTGTGCGCCATTTTCTGAGGCAGCTTGGGAACAAAACAATACTTTATGTTAATCGAGTCACGTCTGTATACATTGTCATCACGTCTTGTTACCGTTACATCAGCGGAATAAGTAATATCTACCTGAGGAGGATAATAGAAAAGAGACAATTTGGTGGGAGACAGTTAAGAGAAAATTTCGTACTACGCCGTACAACAAAGTGAATTAAATTCTTCCATTACACTGTTTTAGCTCGAGTAACACGGCATGAAAAAGATGCACTTGCAAATATTAAAACAATGCGAAACAGAATTTCGAAAATTACTGAAATAAATTGTTATGCAATTTAATTCATACAAATACAATACTTGGGAGAGGCACGGAGAGCCGTATGCAAAGAAGTGCGTAATGATTGTTGGTTTTCTACCGCGTTATGGTGAAAAATGCTGAGAAAATGTAAAAAAAAATCCCACTTGTCAGTTGTAATCTTTGATCTTATCACGGGAATGGCATGCGAGACTCGCAGGTAGCACGAAAGCGCGAGCTAAATGAGAGTTGGAAAATTGTAGCTACGTGAAAACGTTTGCAAACGCGAGTTGCGTTATTGCCCGGCTCACGATTGCGTGTAATCGTCGTGTAATCAATGCCAGTATAACAGCTGCGTGTGAGCGATTCAATCGATGCGCAAAATAACGTGGTAGTACCATTGCGATATCAACGAATAATGCAAATATCGCAGTAACGGTGTCGCGGTGCCGGCATACGATAACGACTAGACGTAGTGCGATACGAAAGAACCGCGGGATCCCACCCTACATACCGTAACTATCGGGGTACTTTGCGGTTTGACTAATGATACGCGGAATTCGCAATCGTATTGTATTTCGCGGCGCGTGGAGATAGATCGATCGGTCCTGGCGAACGTTCTCCCGGCAGAGCGTATAACGCAATGTCGGTTATCATCACGCGCGTGACATTTCGAAGAAACATTTTTGCGCTGACTAATAAAATAATCAGCATTATGATTAGATTATCTGTTGCAGCTCTGTCGAAACACTTAGTTATTTTACTAATTGTGTTTGTTGTATCCTCAGCTTTACAGCCCGCTGTTTTATCATTCGTTCGCACTCCCTACGAAATAACACGTAATAAAGCAATTTGCGCGCGACGTTGAGCAATCTGAGACAATGAAATTGGTGCTCGATGTTGCTCGGAAAATTCAAATATCGCGACGTCTGCGCATGGCGAATGACGATCTGCGTTGATAGCGAGCATCGCCAAGGCCGGATAACGAGTACGACGCTCCTATCTGCTGATCCTGTTCTGCCACTTTTGTAATTAACAAGTCCTTAACAACATATCACGGGTAAAACACTCTTTGCATCGCTTATGCTCTCCGCTGAAAGCCCCTGGTCAAGGCGGGCTCGTGGCCGTCAACCAGTCCCCTCGAGTATAATTTAATGTACTGAGAAAAATCGAAGAGGTACCACTACAGACCTCGCGCGAGGCGAAAGAGGAAGAAATTATGCGAACGTAAGGGCGAGATCGTGAGATTTCAATGGTCTAGATCCACTCCAAGCGCGCTCCTCGGGCGCGGATAGAGTGGCGAAAGGAGCCGGAATATCAGACGTGTCTATCTCAGCCGGGATAAGTAATGAACTGGACAAAAGGATTTTTGAACGAGCGCGCGCTGTGATAATGGGGATTGTGCAGGGAGTTTATAAACCTGTTTCCACTTTGTTCGTTTATCCAACTTAATAAGACAGTCATGTGCGCGCGACCGTTAATAGCGAGCGGAGGAATTAGCGACGCGACGGAATCTGAAATTAAAGAGCGGACATAAAACTGATACAGTCGACGTCTTTATACCGCGCTTGAATCGAAGCGCGCGATTCAGTAACGGCGGCGCGCAATAATATAATATAACGCCGGGCCACAAGAGAAAGAGAGAAAGAGAGAGAGAGAGAGAGAGAGAGAGAAGCAGTCGATAGTTCAACTGTCGGTAGATATAACGGCTTCGCGATAGAACGACCAGCAAGTGAAGAATTTTAATGCGCGTAAAGTCGAAGGTCTTTACTGCGAAAAGTAATGAATTAGGAGCGATAAAGCGCGGTGGCCGACAGAATGAATTGCTTATCCCTCGCAAGTTTTCTTTGCCCCGACCATAATATCCGCCCGCTCCTGCGTTTCGCAGCTCGCTAACTCGTTCGCGCGGTAGTTAAAGCAGCTTCTCGAGAATGCGGCTCGCATGCCCGTCGACTTCCCCCAGCCTCTCCACCGCCCTCCCGATCCGCTAATCTGGTCGCCGATGCTTTATGCGGTATAACGGAATTTCTGTTTGCACTGTCAGCCGCAACGGCACACGCCATTTCTGCGCCTTCGTCGTCGTCGTCGTCGTCGTCGTCGTCGTCGTCGTCGTCGTCGTCATCGTCGTCGTCGTCGTCGTCGTTCGTTCATCCCGGCGAGCCGTCGCGCGAGCTCCAGGGGATTCGTGTCTCAAATCGGCACCGACGATCAATTCAAATTGCCTCGCGTCGGATCATTGAGCAGCCGCGTTTTATCACAAGCCGTTTGAGCCGTCCAAGCCGCAAATCGTTCCCGCCTCGCGAGAGAGCGCACGGCGCCCGCGAGAGAGAGAGAGAGAGACGTTCGTGTCGCTTATACCGGTCGAGATTTGCGAAATTCAACCGGTTACCACTCACGACGGCGTACTAAATCATACGTGAATCAGAATCTGTGTCAACCTCCGCTGTAATTACAGAAAAACTGGGCGACGCGACGACCGCACGACGACTACAATCGCTCGCGACTGTAATTGCGCTTAATTGTGATTAATTTAGATAATTCTTGGGAACGCGATCTCCTCCCTCCCTCTCCCTCTTTCTCTTTCTCTCGGTCCTTTCGAATTTACTTCGGGGATAATTGCAACGTTTATATAAGCACACATTTTTTATATAATAAGAAATTGTAGGGTGTGCGGCGTTACTTGCACATTCCAGCAGTGTCGAGAAGATCGATATAAGTCGAGCGTAAAAAGCCGTTACCTTCAATTACCCCGACGTCGCTTGTCGCGACTGCGAACTTTATATTCGCGTGTACACGCAATCGTGTACACGCAAATGTTGCCGCGTAGTTTAGTTATCGCGATTGAGAATTTAGTGTCCCGCTTGCATTGTCTCGCGGAGCGAATGCATATTTCACACGTGCGCTATCCTTGCACCGGCCGCCGCCGCCGCCGCCGCCGTGTAACCGCGCTGCGGCCTGCTGATTATGCGAACCGTGGTATAGTCGGTTACCTCCTTGCATATACATCGTCGCAGCGTACAAGCGCGCAAGCGAGGGCACCGCGCGTATAACATCATAATAACTCGCAGAAATCATCCGTGCGTCTTTGTGCGTGAACTTTCAAATGTGGGCAAAAGCAAAGTAATGGCATCAAAGCGCGCAACGCTGCCATGGTATTCCAGGTAATGACCGACAATTAATATCGCCCCTTATCTCGTCACAAAGAATATCGCATCCTTTGTACCCGCACACAACGTATGCACCAAGCGCGACACGCAAATCTCTCGCGTGCTCGATTAATGACTATTCTTGATGAAAAAGCAGCTGTAGGTGCATTAATATAATAATAGCTCGTGAGATAATTCCATATATTATTTTCCATACGTTCGGAACGGTAAAATTATTGCAATCGTTATCTAAATTTATTCGCGATCTACAAAACAACGCAAAAGTGCGCGAGCTGGCTATTACATATGAAAATAATAATTAGGTGTAATATTGATATAATGCTGAGATAAGTATAAAATATTTTGTAATTTACTTTAGAACGATCTTGAGTCGTTTACGGCTGTTAATGCGGCAAACAAGTTCCTAGTTTATCCTGTCAGACGCAATTAATCTCAGAAGCGCGGCCGATAAATTTCTTTCGAAAGCAGATACGTCGATTTCTCGTCATCGATGATGAAGTCGGTTTGACGAACGTCCCTCGGCGGAGAAGGTATTTCGTGATTTCACGATCGCCCGTTACGACGCGCGATCGCCGGATAAATGGACTTTTAACGAACCCCGCAAACGCCGAATAATTCGATTTATTAAGCAAGTGTTGCTCCGTCCCGAACAAGCATCGCTAATATTGACGGAGGTGGGATCCGCCTGTCGCTGCGAGACTGACACCGGCGGAAGAAACATTTCGAGGCGAGAGCCGCGCGCGCTCGATCGATTACAAAGCACTTTCGCGGAACATTGAATTGGATCCAACCTCTTCGAGTTCGAACGAGAGAGGTCGAAAATACAAGTTGCACCGAACCGACCAACCGACCGACCGACCGACCGACCGACCGACCGGCCGATCGACCGACCGGTGACTTTAATCAACTCTTTGCAAGCGCAACTGCTCGAGAGTCGCGGGGCGTGTCGGGCCATTCCCGGCGCTCGTGTATGGTTACAAGTGCGGCACGGGAGAGACTTCGTAATAATACCATGGGATACTCCGTTGACACGCTTCGTTGCGCATTAAAGCCAGCTGACAATCCGCCGAACTTTTCGACATTTTCAGACCGCGCTGATACCGCAGTTGCGCTCGCCATTTAAAGCCGCTGTATCGCTTAACTGCAACGCCCGAGTTCCG